GACCAGATGGCTTTCCAGCAGAATTCTACAAGACATTTAAAGAGGAGCTGATACCAATTCTACTGAAGGTATTCCAGGCGATTGAGAAAGAGGAAACTCGCCCCAAATAATCATTTTACGAAGCCAACATCACATTGATACCCAAGCCAGGTAAAGACCCAACAAAGAAACAGAACTACAGGCCAAAATCTTTGCTGAACATAGATGCTAAAATTCTCAACAAGATCTTAGCAAACCGGATTCAACAACACATTTCAAAAATCATCCATCATGACCAAGTAGGCTTCATTCCTGGGATGCAAGGCTGGTTCAACATTCATAAAGCCATAAATGTGATTAAATACATCAACAGATGTCAAAACAAAAACCACATGATTATATCATTAGATGCAGAAAAAGTTTTTGATAAAATCCAGCACCCCTTCTTGATAAAAGCCCTCAAACAGCTAGGCATACAGGGAACATACCTCAAAATAGTAAAAGCCATCTACGAGAAACTCACAGCCAGCATACTCCTAAATGGACAAAAATTGGAACCATTTCCCCTGAAAACTGGAAGAAGACAAGGATGCCCACTCAAACCCCTCCTGTTCAATATAGTATTGGAAGTCCTGGCTAGAGCAATCAGAGAAGAGAAGGCAATCAGGGGTGTCCAAATAGGAAAAGAAGAAGTCAAGCTATCTCTCTTTGCAGATGACATGATTGTGTACCTTGAAAACCCAAGAGAATCTGTCAAAAACCTGCTTACACTGATAAAGGACTTTGGCAAAGTCTCAGGATATAAAATAAATGTGCAAAAGACAATCGAATTTCTTTACACCAAAAATAAACAAACAGAAACCCAAATAAAAACTACAATTCCATTCAAAATAGCCACACACACACAAAAAAAAATACCTTGACATCTTCCTAACCAGAAATGTGAAAGACCTTTACAATGAAAACTACAAAACACTGCTCAAAGAAATCAAAGATGACACAAACAAGTGGAAAAATATGCCATGCTCATGGATTGGAAAAATCAACATTGTGAAGATGTCCATCCTACCTAAGGCAATCTACAGATTTAATGCAATACCCATCAAATTACCAGCAACAGTCTTCTCAGACCTAGAAAAAACAACACAGGAATTCATATGGAAACACAAACAACTAAGAATAGCCAAAATAATCCTCAGCAAAAAAAACAAAGCAGGAGGTATCACATTACCAGACTTCAAACTTTACTATAAAGCTACAATCATCAAAACAGCTTGGTATTGGTATAGGAACAGACATATATACCAATGGAATAGAATTGGCATTCCAGAAGCAAAACCTCAATTTCTCAACCAACTCATCTTCAACAAAGCCTCCACCACCTACCACTGGGGAGAGGAGAACCTATTCAGTAAATGGTGCTGGGAAAACTGGCTGACCACATGCAGAAGATTGAAACAGGACCCCTAACTATCCCCATACACAAAAATTAACTCTGAATGGATCAGAGACCTAAATGTAAAACCTCAAACCATAAGAACCTTAGAAAATGAAGGACATACCCTCATGGATATTGGAACTGGCATCCAATTCCTGAACAAAACCTGAAACCCATAGGCCATAAGAGATAAGATAGACAAGTGGGACCTCATTAAACTGACAAGCTTCTGCAAAGCCATAGAAACCATTAAGAGAGCAGGGAGACAGCCTACAGACTGGGAAAAAGTATTTGCCAACTCCAGGTCTGACAAAGGCTTAACATCCTGGATCTACAAGGAACTCAAACATGCTGAAAGGAAAAAAACAAATAACCCCATTATAAAATGGGCAAAAGATATGAACAGATACTTCTCAAAGGAAGATATCCGAGCAGCCAACAGACACATGAAGAAATGCTCAACCTCACTAAACATCAGGGAGATGCAAATCAAAACCACACTGAGATACCACCTAACTCCAGTCAGAATGGCAATTATCAATAACTCAAAAAATAACAGTTGTTGGAGAGGGTGTGGCGAAAAGGGAATACTTCTGCACTGTTGGTGGGAGTGTAAACTAGTGCAACCTCTGTGGAAAGCAGTGTGGCGATTCCTAAAAGCTCTACATATCAACCTCTCATATGACCCCACAATCCCACTACTGGGAATATACCCTGAAGATTTCAAATCACTCTATAAAAAAGACACCTGCACACGTACCTTTATCGCAGCATTTTTCACAACAGCAAGAACATGGAAGCAACCATGCGGTCCATCAAAAGAGGACTGGATTTAAAAAACGTGGTACATATACACAATGGTATACTATGCAGCCATTAAAAAGGACAAAATCATGAATTTCACAGCAACCTGGATGGAACTAGAGTCTGTAATACTGAGTGACCTCTCACAGAAACAAAGACTTGAGTATCACATGTTCTCATTCATATAGTGGACCTTGATCATCCAACGTAATACCATAAGAAAATGACCAACAGTGGTGGCAAACTATACGGTGGAGGGGAAGGGAGATGCGATTAATAGTAGTAAATATCTGTCTGGGGATGGGGAGACACCTCTTATCAACAAGGGTGCCTGAACAAAGCATATTTGTATACCTAACCCTTAACTGTACCCCACAATATCATAATAAAAAATATTGATTATGAAAAAAAGTATGCCTATCAAAAATTTCTCATTTGCCCCTTAAAATATATTAAATGTTTATGCATTCAAAATTATAACTTATTATATACTAGTATTATAGTATTCTTATCTTAAGAGTTAATGGAAAAGCATGAGTTTATTTATTAAAAGTAGTTTAATGTCCAATTTTTTAGGATTACCTCTATGTGAGGTACTCCTGTTCTTCATTAGTTGGAGCAAGGTTTTTCAGTTCAAGTACAACGTGAGCTTGCATTTTTAACTGATTCTATCATTGTATCTAGTTGCACCCTTTCAAGTAGACTTAAAACTTTTGCCACAGTTAAGCCTCACAATTAAAACAATGTCAATAAACCAAAATTGTCTGTGTTCTAAGACCAAGTTGCAGGGTCGACTCCATGAAGCTTATTTAGTTCAATGCATGTACTCACAAATAAGAAATCTTGTGGTTTAAAACATGGTAAAACACAAAATGATCTGAATCTTCAGGAGAGAGCTAAGTATATATGTTTCTCTCTAACAGTGGTTATACAGCTTTCCAGAGAGCTAAGGAAAAAACACAGATCCTTCTCCCTCCCCCTGGGGAGAGTGTGCTATGGGAAAGGTTCCTGCCCAAGGCTAAGAATTGCTTGGAGATTCATCCAGCCTGGCCTCAAAGACTTGGAGCTCCCAGGGGAAAGACTCCAAAAATATCTGGGCTGCAGAGCTTTGCCATAATGAAAAAGATTCATAATACCTTTAAAAAAAGGAATTTTTTCCCCAAAGCAGAAGTCAGAGTAAAAGTTCTCAAACCACGTTTCCATGGAACAAGATGACCTGAAGGGAAGGCTGCTTATGAGGAATAATGCAATCTGCTCCCAATTCACAGGAAAGAAATTAAAGTGAAGGGACAAAACTCTGAATTTTGCTGAACTTCTTGATGCCTGCTAGCTACCATTCATCTGTTATCAGACAAGAAAGAGATGAAAGAGTAATGTGATGTTCTGAAAAGAATACAATGATTTCCATATATTCAGACAATTAAACAGTTTGAAGAGTTTACACAGTGAAATCTCATTACAGAGAAGGTTCAACCTGAAGCAGCACATAATTTAAATTCTAGTGAGTTTGGGTAATTCAAAAAATTATGTATTCTGATCTTATCAGAAAGCTAAATTGCTTTTTAAAAACATGGCTCAAAATGTCTAATAAACTCAGGAGGATCTCTTAAGCCCAGGCATTTGAGTACATTTTGGGCAACATTGCAAGACCCTGTCTCTTATAAAAATAAAGTCTAACAAGATGGACCAAGATATTTACAATGTATTACCAAAAAAGATATAACATATCTGTAAGAAGTATTTCCTATAAATTAAAGAAAGTTAAAGAATACATATAAAATTTCAACAGTGAAGGGGAAGAACTGATATAAGGTGCTTTCAAATTTTCATTTTCACTGTATTTTATAAATTATTCATAGTGGTCAAAATACTAGAAAAAAAGAATTTCCATTTTGAAACTAATTTAATTAAAACTGATATAAGGTATATAGGCTTCTATTTTCATTAAGTAAAAAAATACATTAAATCCATCATTGCATAAAAGTTTTCACTCTACTGAAATAATTTTTAGTTTAAAAATACATACTTGTTTCGTATCGGCATCAATTAGATCAAAGAATGCTCGAATTGTAGTCAACTGCAATTGCTTACACCTAAAAAATAAAATGTTACAAATGAAACTTTCTTAAAACATATTATTTTGAGCCAAACATGCATAATTCTATTGTTTAGTGGAATATTTGAGTTTTCTTTAATGCTGTAAACTCAAAAATTATTTAACAAATCATTCTTATTAAGCATATATCTTAATGTTGAAACTTTTAAAAATAAAGAAAATGAAACTTGCCGGATGTTTGATATGAACGTCAGGGCCCTTTTGTCTTCCCAGATCTCCTCTCCTACCCTGGCCACGTGTCCCTACCATAGTCACGCGTGTCCCTGCCCTAGCCACACATGTTCCGTCTACCCTATTCTTAGATTCCTGCACTATGTCCTTGCAAACACTACTTCTTACACAGTCAGACTTAAGTCAAAAAAGAATCTTTTAGCTGAAACATACAGAAATAAATACTGGGGTCTGCCTATTTCTTGCTCACATTTAATCTCTATTTTAAAATTTATATTAAGGATAAATCTAATTCCTACTTGGTCTTCTATATGCTGCGTCCTATACTATCACCGCTGCCCTAACTGAATCTGAATATGGTGATTGGCCAGGAGCTCACCAAGTCCCACCACAGGAGCATTTGATCCTGCCTAGCCAGGACAAACTCTAAAACTTTGGTATTTGATGTCAGCTCCATTTGAGACTGATGCTTCTGCTTCGGGAGATTATTTCATAGGTTGTCAAAGGAACCTTGGTCAAACTGAGACATGAACCAAGGTTAGAGTTCTCAGCTCTTCAGTTAATCTTTCTCCCATAGCCTTTATGGATAAAGTTCTAAGAAAGCTACCAAACCAATTCCTGTACTGATGAGAAAGGAAGACCACAACAAATCATTAAAATGAGGCATCCAAGAATTAACTCACCATACAATGGACAAGTGGTCTGTTGAGATCCAGGTCTTAGGCACTGCTGAACTCTTAAAAAGAGAGAGAGAGAGAGAGAGAGAGCGAGAGCGAGAGCGAGAGAGCGAGAGAGAGACAGAAAATTAAACTGAAGAAAAGCACATTTGTTATTTTCCAAAAGGTTTTAAATTTTTTAAAGCTAATATTTAGAAACATGTAACACAGTTTCACCATACTGTAACATATAGACATTTTCATTTTAAAATTACACTTTCTCATAACAGGTGATCCAAATATATGAAAATATTTCTGCATAAAATAACTCTCTCTAAATATCTTTACTAGTTAGTCAAGGTTAAATTACTCTTTAAAAATTATTAAAGCACCCACAGACTCTTTACTGAAGTTTAATGTCTAACTTTTTAATTACTGTAATGAGAGGCTAATTCCTCAATAAATCACAATTAACCTGGAAGTTACAAAAGACATACTGGTAATTTTAGTTTTGATGAAATGATCACTTAATAGTGTAAGATGTTACTCCTTCATCATAATATGCCTGAGAAGTATCTAGGCCTAGGGTGATTTTTCAAAATAAATATGCAGAATCATAATTCCAAAACTACCAAATCAGACTTTCACAAATGAGGTCCCATATTATTTATTTTGAAAAAAAATCCCTAGACAATTAGAATGTATACTTCTGCTGAAAGACATAAGGCAAAAGGCTCCTATAAAAAATATATCTATTGACCAGGCTCGGTGGCTCAGCCTGTAATCCCAGCACTTTGGGAGGCTGAGGCAAGTGGACTCCCTGAGCCCGCGGGTTCAAAACCAGTCTGGGCAACTTGGGGAGAGCTTTTTCTCTACAATAAATAAAAAATTAGCCGGGTTTGGTAGCGTGTGCCTGTAGTTCTGGTTACTTAAGAGGCTGAGGCAGAAGGCTCTCTGGAGCCCAGCAGGTCGACGCTGGGGTGGCTGTAAGCATGCCACTGCATTCCAGCCTGAGCGACAGAGTAAGACTCCAACTCAAAAAAAAAAAAAAAAAAAAATGTACTTTCTAACAACAGCACAATACCCTTCTAGACTTAGAGATTCCTTGTCATGCCAGGTAACAAACTCTTTGTGAATAGCTTCTTACACACAACAGGGGCTCATTAAGCAAATCCGATTTTGTTTTTCACAGCATCTATCTATGCTCCATCGAAGACTGGAGCTGTTAAAACAAAATGAAAATAGGAGACTAACAGCACAGATGCAAGGAAATGTACATAGGCCTAAAATAACTCTTTAGTAAGAAAATAGGTATATATAACCTCTAAGGAGTCATTGTCACCCTTGTATTATACAAATAAGAATGTCTTTGGAAATAAGCTATACCCAATTTTATTTAACTAAATCATCTGTATTTAGAGTTGACATTTAATTTGAGGACTTCAAATTTGATGTTCTGAAGTGGGAGGAATCTATAGCTTACTTGATGAGTTTATAAGCATTTCATATATTTAGGAATTACTGCGGACAACTTACTAAAAAACAAGACAACCAGAGCTCACTGTGGTTCTCAGATTACATTAGAAGCTCAGTAGAGTAAGAACTCGAACTGGGCTGGGCTCAGTGACTCAGCCTGTAATCCCAGCACTTTGGGAGGCTGGGGCAAGTAGACTGCCTGAGCCCACGGGTTTGAGACCAGCCCAGGCAACTTGGTGAGACCTTGTCTCTACAATAAATCAAAAATTAGCCGGGTGTGGTAGCATGTGCCTATAGTTCTGGCTACTTGGAAGGCTGAGGTAGAAGGATCCCTGGAGTCCAGCAGGTCAATGCTGGGGTGGCCATGAGCATGCCACTGCACTCCAGCCTGGACAATGGAGTGAGACTCCAACTCAAAAACAAAAACAAAAAAACTCTAAATGGTAGATGTAGACAGTATTTACCATTATCAACAATATAAAACTGGTTTGCTTTCATTCAGTTAAATTAATCCATGTGTGATAGAGTTGAAAAAGGAAAGGCAGCACAAATAAAAAAGTAGTTGTTCATGACTGTTAGGATTAAAATTGCTAAATGTTCACCAAAATCCATTCTTTTCTTGCACACCTGGCTATGGCTCTTAACTTCTCTTGCGCTACGTGTAACTGGGTTTTCTCTAACGGTATGTGAGCAGGAGTGACATGTGCCTTTTCTAACCTGACACCTTCCCCATACTCCTTTCTCCTTCTTGTGGTTGATTAGTGATGGCTGCAGCAACCTTGAAAGTAAAATACCCAAGATGGGGTACCTAATGTCAGCCTGGGTCCCTGAATGGGCAACCCTTGGAAAACCACTTGCCAACCTAAATACATATCCACCCTAGGATTGTTACATGAGAAAAACACAAAGGTCTATTGTGTTTAAGTGTCATCACCTGTAACACTTGGGCATGTTACAACAGTTTTGCCAGCTCTACTAATACAATGATGGCCTAGTACCAGTGTATGCAAATGTCATTTAACTGCTCTTGAGATAATTATTCAAAAATTGTTACTTAATTTAAATTTTTTTCACTCAGAACTATACTACAATTTAAGGCCTTTTTTTCCCCAGACTTAATTTTTAAGTGAATACACATGTAGCTATATGAAAGACTGCAGACAATCTGGGGGCTTAAAAAAAAAAAACTCGGGTTACATACTGGCCAGCTTTTAGAAAGTTCCATAGGTAAAATATTTTACATCAGAGATACAGAAATCAGAGCTAACAAACTGTCTTGAAAGCAACACATTATCAAATAAATTAGAAAACACAGGTGAGTATGCACATAAGCTCACACACACACACCAAGGATTAAAAAGACTAAAGCTCTTTAAAAGATAAGCTTCAGGATGTGATAGCAATACAGCAAATGCTCTAGACAAAGTCTAGGAAATAAGTTATATCCAATTTTATTTGACTAAATCATCTGGGTTTACAAAGAGTTGATATTTAGTTTGAGGACTTACAGCAAATATCTGCCCAAGATATTCAATACCAAAAAAAAAGACTGATACCACCAATAATGAGGTTTGATAGATGTACTAATTTAGTTCCAAAGCTATTGTGGCTACATCCCAGTTCCTCCAGTTATAAGAAAATGATGGATAATAGTAGAATAACTTAATAATTTTTGTTCTATGTACAGCAAGCATTTAGTGAATTAACAGCGTCTAAGGCAGGACAAAGGCAGATGAGATGAACAAATAGTATCTACAAAGAGGAACAACCAAGAACAGTGACTTTCTAGCACCATCTCCTAAAAAGCAAAAGTATCAGGCAGGCCACACTCTGGATTTTCTCTTAAGAAAGTAAGTTATCATCAACAAGGGTACCTGCATAATCAATATTTGTATACCTACTCCTGAATTGTACCCCACATCTTTATAATAAAAAAAATTCTAAAAAAAAAAAGTAAGTTATATTTGGAGATGTGTATACTGAGTTAAGAATTTAAGACCTTAACTAAAGACTTCAAGGTTAAATACACATGAAAGAAGTCCTACAAGGAAACGTGACTCACTTTACATAGATTATGTATCATAGTTAAAGACCAAATACTTAAATGTCAAAGCAGGGAAAAATAAGTAGCAAATTAATTAATAAGGGTTCTATTTATACATATGCTATTAAAGCTAATCATTTTATTTCAAACTGGTAAAATTTCATTTAGGTTCAGTAATCAGGAGTATGTGACGTTTGATATTCCACCACAACTGTATACAGCATAACACCCAGATATAACCAGATTCCAAGGACTTCAGTAAACTTTCTTACAGTTACAACTCTAATCAATGAATAAGCTCTTATTTTGGACAATAAACAATTATTCCTCATGACTAAGAGTCATTTTCACTAAGTTTGTAAGATCCTTTCTACTTTCTTTTTTTTTTGTCGGAGTCTCACACTGTCACCCAGGCTGGAGTGCAGTGACACACTCACAGTCACTGCAGGCTCGGCCTGCTGGGCTCAGGTGATCCTTCTGCCTCAGCCTGCCAAGTGGCTGGAACCATAGGCTTGCTAATTTTTTAACTTATTGTATAGATGAGGACTTGTCATGTTGCTCAGGCTGGTCTTGAACCCCAGGGCTCAGGCAATCCTCTCTCCTCCGCCTCCTAAAGGATTACAGGTGTGAGCCACAGCACCTGGCATCCTTTCTACTTTCTATGGATATAAGCATCTGCAGCTCTGCCCTCCCGATACATTCATATTTATTCATTCATTCACTCATATTCTCTCTTGCTCTCTCTCACACACACGTATGCACATGCAGCAGTGTTAACCACTAATTCAGCAGTCATTACCGAGCAGCTACATATTCTTTCTCCCTTTGTGTTCCATTGTGTTCATTACATTACTATTTCAATAGAATCTTAAAAAAGATTACCACAACAGACAAGGCACTGGTATGATGGCTTAATTTTGGTAGAAAAGTCAGTCCTGAACGAACTTGGTAATCCCGGAATCCTCCAGCTATAGAAAGTGTGGTTAAATTTATGTGTCTTGCGTTTAGAATCCAGTAGTTGTTCACAGTCATATAAAAATCTGGTAGGGAATAAAAAAGAGACATCAGAAAGTGGCAGTCATTCTCTGCAACAATAAGATATCTACACAGTAATACAAATATTTAACTAAATTTGTGCTTAAGCAATCTGATCTATAAGCAATGTTATTCACATTACTCTATTTTGAGTAAAATCAGTATCTTTACACATATTCCCATTTCCCCATTAAAACAAAATACAAGTTTTGAGAGTTACTAAAGGCATCAATTATGGAGAAAAGATACCCAAGCCTTGACAAGTCATAAGGACGTCTGCTCATAAGTCACACAGAGTAGCAAGGAGAGGAAACCTTGCATTTCTTCCAAAGAATGCACTATGCTAAAGAGTTGTAGATACTTGTGGCATTGGCTTCATGTTCCATGCATATGTTCAAACTCATCAAATTTTATATTTTAAATATGTGCAGTTTTTTGTGTATCAATTACCCTCAATAAAGTGGGTTTTTTTGTTTTTTTTTTTAATGAAAGCTACAGCCTCCTCCATGGCAGGGCCCCTGCTTACAAGGGCTTAGCAGTCTACACTGTGGTCAACCACCACCAGACAAAGTACTATATAAACTTGAACAACACAGTCTATCAGAACAATACCACTAGCATTAGTTTTAGGTCTATACTGCTGCAGAAAATCTTAGGCTCAACCCATTTAGTGTAACAAGTAGTTCAAAGGGAAAGATCTGCTGAAAATGTTTCACTTCTCTACAGAAAAAGTGAGAATATTTTAGTGCCAAAAATTAATAAATTGAGGCCAGGGTAGGGAAGTTCCCAATTCCTTTTCTGAGTATCAAGACTTACTGTATTTTTACTCTGGCATTTGATCACATTTAGGGCTTCAAACACTAGGTACAGCAAGCTCTTTCCATTAAAGATCTCAGCAGCATTTACTCAGATTTACCACACTAACCCTGTCCTAACATCTGTAGGGCCTGGGATATGAGTACCCATGTGGCACACACACAATCTGTCTCAATATTTAAAAGTCAAAAGGCAACGTTGTTATGTTAAGATGGGTACTTTAGAAGAATACTTTGGTTTGAAATCACTGGGGAATATTTCCCACTTAACACAAAAGATTCAAATTTTCACCAAAATTAAGATAATGCAAATTTTGATAGGTAAAAAGTTGTATAAGTTTACTGATCAGGAAGAAAAATTCTTTCTAAAGATTTTCTTCTCTAACATCACACTGATACCCAAACCGGGTAAAGATCCAACAAAAAAAAGAGAACTACAGGCCAATATCCCTCATGAACATAGATGCAAAAATCCTCAACAAGATTCTAGCAATCAGATCCAAAAACACATCTCAGAAATCATCCACCATGACCAAGTAGGCTTCATCCCCAAGATGTAGGACTGGTTCAACATTCGCAAGACCATAAATGTAATTAAATACATCAACAGATGTAAAAACAAGAACCACGTGATTATATCATTAGATGCAGAGAAAGCTTTTGATAAAATCCAGCATTCCTTCTTGATAAAAACTCTCAAACACCTAGGTATAGATGGAACATACCTCAAAATAGTAAGTGCCATCTACGATAAACCCACAGCTAACATATTGCTAAATGGACCGAAACTGGAAACATTTCCCCTGAAAATTGGAACAAGACAAGGCTGACCACTCTCACCCTCTTGTTCAACACTGTGTTGGAAGTCCTAGGTAGGGCGATTACACAAGAGGGGAAAATCAGGGGTATCCAAATAGGAAAAGAGGAAATCAAGTTATCCCTTTTTGCTGATGATATGATCCTATACCTTAAAAACCAAAAGAATCTGTCAAAAACCTGCTAGCACTGATAAAGGACTTTGGCAAAGTCTCGGGGTACGAAATAAATGTGCAAAAGACAGTTGCATTCCTATACAGCAACAACAAGCAGGCAAAGACCCAAATTAAAAGCACAATCCCATTCACGATAGCCACAAAAAAATGAAATACCTCGGCATCTTCCTAGCCAGGGAAGTGAAAGACCTTTATAATGAGAACTACAAAACACTGTTCAAAGAAATCTAAGAGGACACAAACAAGTGGAAAAATACTCCATGCTCATGGACAGGAAGAATCAACATTATTAAAATGTCCATCCTACCAAAGGCAACCTACAGATTCAACACAATACCCATTAAGTTACGAACATCATTCTTCTCAGACCTGGAAATGACAATACAGAAATTCATATGGAAACATAAACGACCACAAATAGCCAAAACACTACTTAGCAAAAGAAACAAAGCAGGAGGTATCACATTTCCAGACTTCAAACTTTACTATAAGGCTACAGTCTGGTATTGGTAAAAGAACAGGCACATGGCCAATGAAACAGGATAGAGATTCCCGAAGCAAATTCTCAATTTCTCAACCAACTCATCTTTGACAAAGCCTCCAACAACAACCACTGGGGAGAGGAGAACCTATTCAGCAAATGATGCTGGGAAAACTGGCTGACCACATGCAGAAGATTGAAACAGGACCCCTACCTATCACCATACACAAAAATTAACTCTAAATGAATCAAAGACCTAAATGTAAAACCTCAAACTATAAGAACCTTAGAAAATGCAGGAGACACCCTTATGGAAATTGGAACTGGAAACCAATTCCTATTCAGAACCCTAAATGCCCACACCTTAAGAAATAATAAGATAAACAAGTGGGACGTCACCAAACTGATGAGCTTCTGCAAAGCAAAAGAAACCATCAACAGACCAGGGAGACAGCCCACAGAATGGGAAAAGATATTTGTCAACTCTATATTTGACAAAGGCCTAACATCTAGGATCTACAAGGAACTCAAACGCGCTGAAAGATAAAAAACAAACAGCCCCATTAAAAAGTGGGCAGCCGGGCTCAGTGGCTCAGCCTGTAATCCCGCGCCTTTGGGAGGCTGAGGTGAGTGGATTGCCTGGGCCCGCAGGTTCGAGACCCGCCTGGGCAGCGAGACCTCATCTCTACAATAAATCAAAAAAAAAATCAGCCAGGCGTGGTAGCGCATGCCTGTAATTCCGGCTACTTGGAAGGCTGAGCTGGAAGGATCGCCAGAACCCAGCAGGTCGAGGCTCCGGTGGCCGGGAGCGGCCACTGCACTCCAGTCTGGGTGAACAAAGTGAGACTCCAACTCAAAAAAAAAAACAACACATGAAAAAGTGCTCAGCCTCACTCATTGCCAGAGAAATGCAAATCAAACCCACACTGAGATATCACCTAACCCAAGTAAGAATGGCCATCGTTAATAAAACAAACAACAACAGATGCTGGCGAGGATGCTGAGAAAAAGGAATGCTTCTACACTGCTGGTGGGAATGTAAACTAGTGTAACCTCTTTGGAAGACAGTGTGGCAGTATCTGAAAGAACTAGAAATTGACCTTCCATATGACCCAGCAATTCCCCTATTGAGAATATACCCAGAGGAACTCAAATCATTCTACAAAAAAGATACCTGCATACATATGTTTGTTGCAGCTCTATTCACAATAGCAAAAACATGGAAACAACCATGCTGCCCATCGAAGCTGAACTGGATTAAAAAAATGTGGTACATATACACAATGGAATATTTGCAGCATAAAGAAGGACAAACATATGAACTTTGCAGCAGCTTGGATAGATTTAGAGTTGATCATACTCAGTGATCTATCATAGAAACAAAGAACAGAGTACCATATGTTGTCACTCATAAGTGGACCTTGAACAATTATAATACTGTAAGAAAGCAATTGGCAGTAGTGGGAAACTGTGGGGGGGCGGAATACCTCATCAGCAAGGGTACCTGCATAATCAACATTTGTATACCTAACCCTGAATTGTACCCCACATCTTCTTAATAAAAAAATTAAAATTAAAAAGATTTTCTTCTACTTATATAATATTTCTATAAGCAATGAAGATAATTTTTGACTTTCTTTAACAAAAGGTCAAGAGGTACCTAATTCTTATTATATGACACTATCACTATATTTGACTGATGATATAAATCATAAACTCCTACTGCTCATTTAAAATTCCATGGAATATTATTGTAGTATCCATAGTTTTATTTTCTATGTTATAGTAATGTACATCAATTAAGAGGCAGTAGAGCAGCAGTACCCAACCTTTTGAGGGATCAGTTTTGCGCAAGACAATTTTTTCATGGACCAGGGGCAGGGGGTGATGGTTTCAGGATGATTCAAGTGCATAACATTTATTGTGCACTTATTTTTATTATTATTACATTGTAATATATAACAAAATAATTATATAATTCATCATAAAAAGAGGTAAGATAGAGTGATACATAAAATAATGGGCAAGCCACACATGGACTAAAATAAGTCTACCATCAGATGCAGCTGTACAATTGAAGTACATCAACTTACTTGCCACTCACTGATAGGGTTTTTATATGAGTCTGTAAGCAACTGATTTATTATGGTCTCTGTGCAGTCCAACCTCACTGCTAATGTTAATCTGTATTTCAGCCACTCCCCAGTGCTGGCATCACTGCCTCTGCTCCACCTCAGATCATAAGGTATGCACAACCTAGATCCCTCACATATACAGTTCACAATATGAGAATTGAATGCTGCTATTGATCTGATAGGAAGTAAAGTTCAGGAGGTAATGCAAGTAATGGGGAGCAGTTGTAAATACAGATTACAGATGAAGCTTTACTTGTTCCCCCACCACTCACCTTCTGCTGTGTGGCCCAGTTCCTAACTGGCCATGGACCAGTACTGGTCCATGGCTTGGGGGTTTGAAACCCCTGCAATAGAGCACGCAAAAGTTAGGTCCAGGAGTAAGTCCACAGGTCCAGGAGTAAGTCTGCCATGTTCAACCACTGGTTCTACTACTTTCTTACCATAGAACTTTGGGTGAGATCATTAAGTTGGCCTCTTGGATAATAATGGTACCTTCCTCACAGGACTACAGTGTGAATTAAGTATAGTAATACATTATGTGAAGTCCTTAATATAATACCCCAAAATATGGTAAGAGCTCAATATTAGCAATTTTAACTTACTATATAAAGTGTTAACATATTTATTTAAAAACTAGACACCACGACCCTTTTACTTAAATGTAAGCTTATTTTGTATATAGTACTGAAATAGTTAACAAAGTATACGAAGTTTGAAAATGTCTTAAGAGACAAGGAATCATCCTCAAGAATGACTAACCTGAAGCTCTAGTGCCTAGGAATCATAAACACATGTCAACCATGATGAGATGCTATGGACAGAGAACACCAACAGTAGTTTCAATTATGAGCCTAAGGTGAAAGATATAATGAAAGACACTCAGAACTAGAGTATGGAATTGCAACTGAGCTGCTTCAGATGTGGATAAATCTGTGGCCCACTGGAGGGAATTCTTTAATGGGGAGATAATTAGTGTCTATGTAGCAGGACTCACCTGTGATGAAATGGTCCAGTGGCATCACAGGAGCAACATGAGGTGTGGCTTGTGTAATAAGAAGATTTATCAGATCTTGTTTAAAATTTTTCAGTGTCAGCAATGCTCTTGCAACAAGGCCACCCATAGAATGACCAATTATTGCAACACTTTTGGGAGCAAACTCTTGACCCTATTAAAATAAGTCACCATGGCATAATTAGAGTGTAGTATAATAATAAAAATAATAAATATTTCTCTCTGCTTATACGAGCAATTTTATAGAAAAAAGAAAGTCATGTATATAACGTCCCATCATAAGGCCCAGAAAATATTTTCATATAGTTTTAATTAGTGTATATATATATATATATATATATATATATATATATATATATATATACTATTTTGTGTTCTGCCAAACATTTTTAACAGGGATACTTTGGTTTTCTGAACCAAAATAGGAATACTTAGTCTAGCAAATCTTGTTTGTACCACTGGCTATGCTGCATGTAATATGAGAAGTAATTATATTTCATATATACCAGAATATACGTTTTATAAAATATAAGAAATTAGATCATTTATTTGAAACTAAAAATACTGCAAAAAAGTCAAGAGAATTATAGTTGTCATAACAATACACTACCTCATTATGTTGGTATCTCTTATCTTACTGAATTACTTCTCTACTGTGCATCTGGATTTAAAAATAAACCAGCATTCAAAATATTTATGCACCAACAATTACATATTTATTTTTTTATAAGTACTGCTCTTCAGAAACTCTTTTCTGTTTCTACCAGTATACTCAGTCCCACTACCAAACTTGCACTCATCACCCCAGACAGCCTCCCTCACAGATGCCATCTCTTCTGTTGCTACAAACAAACTGAACCTTGTGCAGACAAGGAGACCTGAGACTGCTATCCTTCAAAAGGACAGCATGCAAAGCTAGCTCTTGGCTGGAGTCTGGGACCTTAAATTCTGGGAGAATTCCTGCCATTCCCTAAATGACAAGAAGGACTCATGTGCCTACAGTGTTTGTGTATACAACATGTTTTATGCTGAACACCTGTTGTCCTTCCCGATGTGATTTTGGTATGTGCTAGATGGAGAGTGTCTACATAATAGCCCCAATAAGAACCCTAAGCACTGAGTCTCTTATGAACTTCCCTCACAGACAGTATTTCCCATGCCACAGTTGCTGCTGTAGGAACCAAGTGCATCCTACATAACTGCTGGAGAGAAATCTGGGAAGCCTGCACCTGGCTTCCTTCAGATTTTGCCCTATCCACCTTTTCCCTCTGCTGATTTTGCTTTCTGCCCTTTCATTGTAATACTTCATAACTACAAATACAGCTACAATGCTGAATCCTGTGAATACTCCTGGGGAATCATCAAACCTGGGAACAGCCTTGGAGGTTCCTGACACAGATTTGATCTTAGCAAAAGCCAATATCTGCAACTCTGCTCTGAAACCTGTCCCCTTCCATATTCCCAAGTACAACACTCCAGCAATTCTACCCATTTTCTTCTTGCATTGTTGATTTTCCCTCTCTATTAGATCATTTTCATTAGTGTATAAATACACCGATATTCTCTCTTAAAAATAAGCACAACTCTCTTTTAACTCTCACTTTCTCTTTAGTGGAGAAATAGAGAAATATATAGAGGAAAATGTAGAGAAAAGTATATGGCATACTCTTCAACAATAGTTTATTTACAGAACTTGCTGTCTTCAATTTCTCAACTTCCATATGTCCCTAAATCCATTCCAGTTGGGATTTCATGCCCACATGCCACCAGAACTGCTCTTGCCAAGTCACTGAGAAGTCTGTCAGTCTAACACTCATCTTACTGACCAGTCACAGCATTTGACACAGTTGATCACTTCTTCCTTCTTTGAAATATTTTACTTGGTTTCCTGGACAACAAACCCTCTTGATTCACCTCTTACCTCACTGGCTGCTCTTTTTGTCTCTGTTGCTGGTTCCTTCTCATCTCTCCTCATTTCCCAAAACTGGAGTGACCCAGGCTCCAGCCATCAGATCTTTTCTCTCTTTTATCTATGTTGACACCATCCATGATCTCAACCAGTTTCATGGCTTTAAATGCATCTACTCAGTGTCAGTCTCCAAGTGATTATATCCAGACTGAACTCTTGAGCTCTAGCCTTGAACTCTACCTTTACAATAATTATACATGGAATGCCTAATGTGTATCACAAATGAAACCTGTCTACAACTAAACTCTTAATCTCCTCAAAATCTGTTCCTCCTGCATTCTTCCCCATCTCAGGTAATGGCAATTCCATTTTTCCAGTTATTTAGCCAAAAAACTTGGGGTTGTCCTTAATTCTTCTTTTCCTCTTCCATAACCCCTCCTTATCAGACCTGCCAGCAAATCTTATTGCCTCAACCTTTAAGATTTGCACTGAACTGACCATTTCTTATCAGATCAACCGCTACCAACTTGCTCTAACCACTATCATGTCTTGGACACACCCCACCCCCTCCTACTTGGCAGGCCACTGTCTTTAGCTTCTTGCCTTGTATACACAGAACATAGCTTTCACAGATTGAGAAGTATAAATGTGTAGAGCTCATTCCTTTCTTTCTCATACCCTGTCACCTCTAACCACTTTAGCAGTCCCACATTTCAATTCTCTCCATGGTATCCATGTACTCTGATTGCTTTCCATCTACTTAAAACACTTTCAGGCAGAAATCCAGGCAGTTGTGGCGCTCACTTCCTTCAGGGATCATAGTCCTTGGCTGCTTGGTTGGCTAATATCTCAAAACAGGTGCTTCAGATATCCTGACCACTTTCACAGGTGTTGCTACACAGAGACTGTCTAGCAGCAGTTACTCAGTTATGGCTAGAAGCAGCAATCTATACCAGTGGTTTTTAGGAAATGCATTGCACTCCCAATTTATATACAGAGTAAAACTTTTTTTCCTTGAATTCACCACAAGAAAGATTTCTTGTAAATGCATTTTAAACTTGAAAACTACCATTAAGTTCAAGACAATAGACTCCCACATACAAAAACTTAGTGCTATCTTTGGTTTAACTTCCATCTAAATAAATACATTATCTAAAATATACTAAGTCCCTTAAAATAAAAACTGAGATTGCACCACTATTGATCTCTTGTCTCTTACCTTGTAGAGTTTCAGAATTGTTTTAATGCATTCATGTACAAATTTTGTCTGCTTCTGAAGACTTCCCCCATATAGTGCCACCAGCTCTTCATTGAAGTTCACACTGAAGAAGTCAAAGTGGTACTTGAAGTCAATGTCCTCTGCTTTTCTAAGTGCAATAGAGCCAATTGAACGAACTGCAGAGAAGAGTGAAATGCACATTAAACAAGATTTTTCAGTTTCACCCATTCTTTTTTCAAGTCCCTTAATAACTTTATTCCATAATCATGAATAAAAACTACCTATTTCACAGAGAAATACATTAATAGCACCAATTTAAAAGAAATAACTTAGCAACTGTATGACTTGAACACAGTAAGTGTGCCCTAAATATTATTTAAGTTAAGTAAGTAAAAAGTGAACAGGTCACCCATTCTCCACCAGCTTTTCCCTTGGTAGGGGCAACAATAGCTAAAAAGGAAGGGAAAGATTCTTTGAAGAATTAGGGCTTTTGTCACACTTACTGAGGACTTTAAGAATGAATGAGAAGGTTCCTACAAGAAATGTCTGCTCATCACCTGGTGTAGATACTCATGCTTGATTTGTCTCTTACTCATGACACCCAGTCCATCAGTAAATTCTGCCTTGCTCTACCTTCCAAACATTTCTCCAGTTAAAGTTTCTCACCATTTCCACCACTTAACCCAAGCACCATCATCTCTCACCTGAACCACCTAACAATTTTTCAACTGGTTCCCCTTTCTCCATTCTTTTTGTTCTTGTTGCTGTTTCACAAATGCTTTAACAATATGTATTATGAAGGGATTACACTAAGAGGCATAAAAATGGCAAATTATAGTTTAGCAGACAAAACACCTGTGTGCCATTCCATTTTAAAAACATATATTATATATACACCATCATTCACATACTATACAGCCCACCATATAAAGTGTACAAGGCAACAGTTTTGGTATGCTCCCCATCTCTGGTATATTGTACAACCATCTCTGAAATCTTACACTGAACATTTTTTAATCACCTTAGAAACAAAACCCTGTGGCCATCAGCACTCCCTCCCCAAGTTCCCACTCCTTCTACCCCTGGCACGTACCACCTTACTTTCTGTCTTCATGGATTTGCCTGTTCTGGACATCTCATATAATATGTGGTCTTTCATGACTGACTTCTCCCACTTCTTATGAAATTTTCAAGGTTCATATATGTTGTAGCATGTAGCAGTAATTAATTCCTCTTTATTACTTACTGAATATACAAGTCTTTGAGTGGGTTATGTTTATTTTTCTTGGGTAGATACCTGGCAGTGGACTTTTGGGGCCACATGAAAGTTCTATGTTTACTATTCTGACGAATTGCCAAACTGTTTTCAAAAGTGGCTGCACCATTTTACGTTCGCACCAGCAACCTATGAAGATTCCAACTTCTCATCTTCACCAATTCTTGTTATCTGTTTTTTTTTTTTTTACTATATCTACCCTATTAGATATGAAGTAGTACTCATTTTCATTTGTCTTTCTCTGATGACTAACAATGTTTAGTTTCTTTTCCGTTTCCACTGTTGACCTTTTATAGCAGCAAAGCCAGAACTATCTTTTTTTTTTTTGAGTCAGGAGTCTCATTCTGTCACCCAGGCTGGATGGAGTACAGTGGCATGATCACAGTTCACTCAATCTCCTAGGCTCAGGTGGGCCTTCTGCTTCAGTCTCCTGAGTAGGTGAAACTAAAGGCATGTGCCACCATGCTCGGCTAATTGTTTGATTTTTTTGGTAGAGATGGGGGTCTCACTATGTGCCCAGGCTGATCTTAGACTCCTGGGCTCAACAACTCTCCCTCCTCAAGCTTCCAAAGTGCTGGGATTACAGGCATGAGCCACTGTGCCCAAAACAGAACAATCATTTTTTTAAAAGTAAATCACATCCACTAGATTGACTAAGATCTTTAAATCTGACAATACCAATGCTGTCAAGGATGTGGAGCAAAGAAAGTATAATTACTACTTGTGGGAATATAATGTAGCACAGTTAGTAAAGATTAACAGGATACATATAACCTGTGATGTGGAATTACACTCTTGGGTATACATCTTATAGAAACATGGGCTTATGTGCTCCAAGATACATACAGAAGAATATTCACTACTTGTAATTGCCAATAAATGCAAACAACTCAAATGTCCAAAGACAAAATGGACAGACTATGGTATAGTCATACAACAGAATAATACAGGTAGGGAAAATGAACAAATCACAGCTCACATGACATTTCACATGAATTTTACAGACAATGCTGAATGGGAGAAGCCAGACACAAGACACATACTGAATGACTATATCTGTAGGGGGACCAAAAAACCCAGAATTTATTTTTATAAATAAAATAAAAATAAATATTTTTAATAAACAAAATAAAAACAAATATTTTAATAAATAAAACAAAAATAAATATTTTAATAAATAAAACAAAAATAAATATTTTAATAAATAAAATAAAAATAAATATTTTTATAAATAAAATAATAATAAATACTCGTGTATTTATTCTCTTACATGTTTAAACTTCAATCACTTTCAAAGAACTCTCCGTTTGATGCAATACACCTATCGACATGCTTTTCCCACTGCACAAAACAGTTTATGAACTTGTCAATTTTGATGCCTTTTAGTGCCTCTGCCATTTTTTATTTCACCTCTTCCACAACAGCAAAACATTTCCCTTTGAGGATTTTTTTCATTCAGGGAAAGAAAAAAAAAGTCACTCGAGGTGAGATCAGATGAATAGGAAGGGTGGGGCACAGGGGACATGCTGTTTTTGGTTGAAAACTGCTAAACACTCAGTGTGGTGTGGGTAGGTGCACTCATAAATCACCCATCATGAAATGGATGTGTTGAAAGAATCTCTAAAAAAAAAATTCACCGAAGCTGAATGCAGCCTTTCACAACGATGTGAGCTGGTACCCTGATGCCGATAGGTTCCTAGAATATTTACCTAGCAGGGGAGGCTGTACTACAAGGGGCCTGCCCTCCAAAACATAATTCCTATTTTTTTCGGGTTCCCCAAAAAGTTTAGAAACAGCCTCAAGTAAACAGATTGTATTAGAGATGCATATTTTATGTACTAACACTATAAAGAAAGTTAAGGAAATTACTACCTTAAAGTTAGAGTTGTGATTATGTCTAGAAAGAGGGGAAGGAGTCTAGAAAGAGGGAGAACCAAACATGTTCCTGCCTTGGGGCCTTCCCCCAGTCACACGCAATCCCTTGCTACACCCAAGTCTCTCCTCAAATGTCATCTTCTATAGTGGACTTTCCTGACCACCTTATCTAAACTGGCAATCTCCTGACCATCCCCTTACTCTGTTTTTCTTTCTAACTTTTAACATTACTAGTATTACTTGCCTGATGGCTATCTTCCAAAAAAAGAACACCTGTCTTAATCCACTTTGGATCCCTAATACTCAGAATACTGCCTGGCTTATGGTAGAAACTCCACGAACATTTGCTAGATGAATAGACATGTAAGTAACTGCAAAATTCTAGTCCATTTAATAGCCAAGAAAGTACATTTTGGCTGAAAATAAATTACTTCCAGATTACTTGGCTGTTATGACAAAAAGGACTGCTCTATCTCCAAGCCAACCTCAAGCTAGGATCTACAGAGGTAACTTCCCTACCCTTGCCTTCTGTGTACCCCAGGATTTCTAAATCTCTGTAACTTAACTTCAAAAGAAAGAAACAAATCTCCTCTCTTGTTCAACTAACATAAGTCACTGACTCCCTTCCCCAACCATTGCTTCAGGTTCTGTTCTCTTCCCCCTATCTCCAACACAAATGTTTCTTTTGCTGATACCTGAGCCCCTTTATCATCCACTTACTCCATCCCTCTCCATCTTAATCCTTTTCTCCTTCTCACTCTTTGCAAGGCAGTCTTCAAATCTGCTAAGCCCTTCTCACAAGTATGCTCTCTCAGAGAAAATGGCATATATGTGGGTCTCCATGTAAGCCGACCATAGTATTTCACATGGAGTACACATTTCATTCACTTCATATGATTCAAATTCTTGAACTGAATTTTATGGCTTCCAAAATTTACTTCTAATACTTACCTTGCTTATAGCTTCCAGCATTGCCAGGAAGAAAGAGAACTGGAATACCTGTCAAAGGGAGAGCTTTGTGTTCTGCAGCATAGGATCCTTCTCCGTAAAGATATAACTCATATGCTGGATAACGTTTTGCCAGTTTCTTTGGAAGTTCTATTTTCTACACAAAAAATAAAAATGCAGTTTTACTTTAATCAGTTTTACTAATACAATTTGTTCTCACTATATGCAATTCTGAATTATACAAATTTGAAATAATGCAATAAAAACCATTACTCAAAAAATAAAAATATTACTGATGCTAAAACCACACTCAACATACAAAATAAGTTCTATTTGTCATTTACTCATATAGAGAATTAGTTTTGAATTATGGGAATTTTGAACCAGCAGTCCTCAGGAAAACATATAAGAGAACTACCTGAAATTCCAGCAAATACAAAGTACTCAAAATGCCATTGACAAAGGCAGACAGGCAGTGGCACATGTCAGCAAGTCACATGTTAGCATAATTGGAAATGCATTTAATTTGGTATCAGCATCAATTATACTTAGAAATGATAAAGGCTTTCCATTACCAAATAAATTCTTTTTTTGCCTTTTTTTTTTTTTTTTTGAGTTGGAGTCTCACTCTGACACCCAAACTGGAGTGCAGTGGCCACTCCTGGTCTGCTGGGCTCCAGCGATCCTTCCGCCTCAGTCTTCCAAGTAGCTGGAACTACAGGCGTATGCTACCATGCCCAGCTAATTTTTGACTTAGTGTAGAGATGAGGTGTCATCAAGTTGCCCAGGCAGGTCTCAAACGCGCAGGCTCAGGCAATCCACTCACCTCAGCCTCCCAAAGCACTGGGATTACAGGCTGAGCCACCAAGCCCGGCTTTTTTTTTTTTTTTTTTTGCCATTTTTAACTGTTTTATAATGTCTCTCCTTTTACTCAGGTGCAACTACATATTCTAGCTGTCACATCTTCAAAGGAAAGTGAGTTTGTTTTATCATGCATCTTTCTGACCTCTCAACTTAACATGCTTTGACCTACAACATATACAACAAATTAATGTGACCCTTACAGCCATATCTTGGTCAAGACACGTACACTCTTCTTACTATAACATTTCAGTGAATTCACATCTACTTCAGTTTTCCTTGGCCAGGTGCATGGTTTGTCAGCAAGTCTTAAACTACTCTTCAGTTCATACTCTTGTATACCAAATGAGCCAGTATTTCACATTCATTTTTTTTCAACATAATACAAATTGGGTCTTAGTGTCATCCCCAAACAGCAGGCATCTACAAAAGTGGTAGTAAAGTATAAGCTCTTCTTCTCCTTTTTTTCCTACTTTAAAGGACAGAAACCACGAAAAATGAAACCAATTACACTGGATAGTAATAGCTACTTATTTAAGAATATATAAACAGATTAATGATCAGCAATGCTATACATGTATGTGTTTGATAAAAAATTTTAACTACTGAATGAATTTCAAAACCTGTAAACATTGCTAATGACTACTAAAACTTCTCACTGTTCTAAAAAAAACCCCCACAATTCTGATCATTCATGCACTTCTCAGAATATTTAGAATATTGACATAATCTGTACCAATGACACCATAGAAACATTTATAGAGACTGTGAGCTCATTGTTTAATGTACCAGCAACCTAGTTATCTCCTCAAATATTCAAAATACAGAAATACCCTACTATTTGCTTTACATATGTACATGTACTTCAACTCAAATTAGTTCCAATATTGATTATTAATGGTATATAATAAAAAATTAAAACCCCACAATAGCTTATTTCTTTCAGTACAAATTAAACAAAGAGAAAACATAAGAGAAAAAAGAAATAGTTTCTTAACTCCTCCCACCTTAGTACACCACTTGATAAACTAGTACATGCATATTGGACCATTATTCTTTTTAGTACAGTAGCTAAACAAAGTTTGAACTAGTTGAAGATTAACTCAGAAGAACAGGAACTATCAAATATATCCAAAAAGAAATATGTAATTCTCTGGAGACAGAAAAGCAAGCAAAAAATATACTGGATATATTTCATAAAAATACTATTACAGAAGCAATTTTGTAGTGAGGAAGAACATTTTAAAAATAGGAATGTACACACAATTTCAAAATAAAAGTATACAGAAGAAAAAAGAAGAGAGAGAGAGGAAGAGAGGAGGAAGAATGGTGGAAGTTTCAGGCAAATGGCACAACTACATTTCCAGACAGAGGTCAAGTTGGAAGTGAGGGTAAAGACACGGGAAAGGTAACTGACTTGATTGACAGAAAAGGCGTAGGCACACAAAAAGGACAATCAGGAGGAAACAGAAGAGGGTCAAGGGTTTAAAAAAGAAAGTATTCCTAGCAGGAGGACTCTAATAAATGGGGGGGGGGGCAAAAAATCCAGAATTATTTTTTGGAGGGGGGGGTCCCTTGTAGTACAGGCTTCCCCCTGCTAGGCAAGTATTCTAGGAACCCATTGTCATCAGTGTATTAGCTAGCATTGCTGTGAGAACATTTGGCTTCAGTGGATTAATTTTTGGAGATTCTTTCAACATGTTTGTCATTTCATGATGGGTGATTTACGAGTGCACCTGCCCACTGAGTATTCAGTTTTGACCCAAAAAATGGCATCACCCCCATGTCCCCACCCTCCCTATACCAAACTCGCCCTGAGCAATGTTTTTTGTTTTGTTTTGTTTTTTGTTTCCCCATGAAAAAAGTCTTCAAAGGGAAACATTTTGCCGAAATGGAACAGATGAAGCAAAAAAAACAGAAGAAGCACTGAAAGGCATCAAAACTGATGAGTTCAAAAGCTGTTTTGAGCAGTGGAAAAAGTGTCTCAATAGGTGTACTGCATCAAATGGAGAGTACTTTGAAGGTGACTAAAATTTAAACACATAATAAGTATGAATACACAATTTTTTTTTTTTTTTTTTGAGTTGGAGTCTCACTCTGTCGCCCAGACTGGAGTGCAGTGGTTGCTCCCGGCCACCGCAGCCTCGACCTGCTGGGCTCTGGCGATCCTTCCGCCTCAGCCTTCCGAGTAGCCAGAATTACAGGCATACGCTACCACGCCCGGCTGATTTTTTGATTTATTGTAGAGATGAGGTCTCGCTGCCCAGGTGGGTCTCGAACCCGCGGGCTCAGGCAATCCACTCACCTCAGCCTTCCAAAGGTGCAGGATTACAGGCTGAGCCACCGAGCCCGGCTAATACACAATTTTTATAAGAAAATTCTGGGGTTTTTTGTATCCCCCCAGTAAATTGCTTATTTTATATAGTTTACTTTAAATGAGCAACCTCCCAGTCCATATGGTCAACTGTCTTTACACATAAACAGTATCTCCACAGTCCTGCCTGGGTTGTCCTCCTTCCTTGATCTGCCTTAGTCAGGTCCTTCTCCTCTCTAACCTAAACTCCTTTCAAAGACAGATACTATATTATAAATGCTGCTTGTGTAGTGTGTTCTGGTGCCTCACCTGTGTTATTTATGTCTGCAGTTTCCTTGACAAAATCCCAACTGCTAGAAAAATACTGATTTAAGAAACTAAAGTCTTTATTTTATTATATATATCATGTAATTGTGAATTTAAACTGGAAAAAAAAGTCTGATTTTCACAACTAATAACAACAAAAAAAAGGATTTTGATCAAAATAAGTGCAGATAGTTTCCCAGTACTCACAAAGAGGTATTGGACCTTTGCTCACACCACCCTTAAGAATAGTTCTAGGGATGCCAGATTAATATAAAAATAAGACCCAAGGACACCTGACTCTCTCAGACTGGTCTGTCTTCTTGCCATAATCTCTCTCATATATTCCACAGTCCACACTGCTGTCAAGAAATACCCTGTGAACACAAACACCTTATGAGTTTCCTTATTGTACACACAGATAACAAAGGCATAAGAGAGAGGTGTCCTTGAAAATCTGGCTCCAATTATTCCTACCTGCTTCCTTATAGCTTACATATGTCATGTTTTAAAATGTACTTTTACTATGTTTTAAAATTCAAGATTCAGAAGGATACAAACTGAAAAGGATCTCTCCTACCCCTGGTCCTTCAGCCCTCCCCTACCCCAGAAGGCAGCCTGTTATCGCTTTGTGTATACTTCTAGAATTACTTTATGTAGATACAAGCAAATATGTTTGCAGATCATTTTTTCCTTCTTTCATACATGGTGCTATATTATAAATGCTGCTTGTGTAGTGTGTCCTGGTGCCTAACCTGTGCTATTTATGCTTGCAGTTTTCTTGTTCCTGCACTTTCTGTACTACATACCCTCCACAGCCTGATTCACTGCATCTTCTCTAAAGCTTTTGAGTCTCCGAGACAAATCTGGATGTTCTCTCTTCTGTGAAAAGCCTTACACACTCTCTTACAGTGAAATTACAATACTTTTTACATTATATTATAACTATCCATTACATTCCTATTTTCCCACTATATTATAAAGACATAAATTTAAAACACAAGGTCTGATTTATTTAATTCCTAGTCACATCAAGTATCTATACAAACCTGGCAAAGAATTGTCATTCAATAAGTGACTTAATAAATAAACAGCATACTTGATAAAATAAATGATTCATATTTTCAATGCCAACATTTCCTTTTTGAAAGCAGCCATTAGGTCACACATATGAAGATAGCCAACCAAACCAATTACTGTATGAGAGAAAACTACTCAGATGTTTCTCCTCAAATTCTACAATTTGCCTAAAACCATTTGATGCTTAAAAAAAAAAAAGGTTTGCCTTGCTGTCATAATGAGACAAGAAGCTCTAAAGGATAAAGTGTATTTTGCCTGGTAGGCTTGAGAGAGGTTCATGTGATGTTCAGTTAATGCTGAGTAAGTGAATCTAGAAAAACCAGAGGTAGAAGATAAACAGAGATAATCAAATAATTTTAAATTCAAAACTTCGTTTTTGCAAAGAGTTTCAAATTTATGTCCCACTTTTTAAAAAATGGAGAATAAATGTCTCAACTACCTTCCCATTTCCCCTCAAGCTGGCTGAAGAAGATGCAAACAAGCAGTAAAAAAGACGAAAGGCATCAAGAAAGGGAAGAAAGTCCAATGACTAGGACATTCACATGCTAGGTACCAACCTGTGAACAATTAGAGAGCTGACTATAAAATATAACTAAAAGTGAGCAATATATACAATATCTTTACAACATTTTTATCCTGAAACCATTTGGTTCTTAGCAGAATGACCTCATTTATCCAGAAATATTACTAACTATATTCAAAATGACTCATTTCTATAGGCAGGTTTTAGTTGTTTTTGTAAAACAACATGATTCTGTAAGCAAAATAAAAAGACTAATAATCCAATATGAATACTATTATGAATTAACACAGGTTTTCACATCATAAAAGTAAAATATGCTAAAGATGTGGAAAAAAATTCTGCCACTGTAATTACTACTGTACTAACAAATTATTAGCAACGTGTAAACCCCTCCAAAAAACTTAAACCAAAATAACTAAATACAGACTACTCAACAACAACAAAGCCCAAACAGCTTTTGTGCACCACCTACACTTATTTTCTGTGTTCTTCCAGTCAATTTAACAAGGCAGGAAATTCATCTGTGAGGTCCATATGCTTTGTTCCCAACACTAAGAAAGTGATTTCTATTACTGCAGATATTAAAATAACTTCAATAAGTGTGGGAAATGGAACAATAAATGGGAATTAGTACTGTATTGTTCCAAAAAGAATGTATTTTAACCAAACTCTTCAATGCAGTACAAAACTAAAGTGAGCTACTTCAATCTACTGGGAGTTTCCTAATTATCAAATCATAGAAAATGAGGGCGGAATTATAATAGCTCTATTTTCAGTTTTAAAAACCCCTAGCCTAAAAGTCCATGTATTTAACTACACAGGCTCTGAAATCCCAGTATATTTGCTTAGAAATAAATAAAGACAACAGTAACATGCCAAAATCTTCTCCTTCAATAGGGTCCACATCAAATGTTTCCATTTCCTTATAATCACTGATGCAAAACCAAGGTAGGCTCTCAAAACAAATGAAATCTACATTTACTAGAATTTTGCCCATGCCTAGGATGCTCTCCAGCAATGTAATCTTTAAAATAAACGTAAAATAATAGCAGCATAATCAAATAATGTGCTTCCTCCACAGTGACTTGCACACAGAAGCAGTCACCACTTGCATCCTTCACCCTAAAGAAAAAAATCTCTGTGACTTCAAGAGTATAGTAAACACATATTTTCTCAATATGTATCATAGTACATAAACATTTTATGGTAGGGAATTATCATGGTAATAGGTATTCCACAATTAAGAGATTGCATAAGAAATAAAAGAAACATTTGGAAGAAATTTATTTGGACAGGTGTGCAATCTGTTACCACCTCTATTTACAGCAGGTCATGAATGAAATTCTAGATTCTACTATGTAGAACTTACGAAACAACAGACTGAAAACATTCCAAATAGAACGGAAGAGGTGGGGGTAAGGAGAAAGAAGGGACACCATGAAGTGCATTTTGTATGCAACTGGTAAGAGGCCTGACTGCCAGGTGACCTGCATACACAGAGGGATGCATACACACAGGTATAAACATGGGTATGAATGCACATGCACCCAGAACCTATGACATGCATATACACAAGGATACACACACACACACACACACACACACACACACACACACTCAGGATCTGTGACATGCATGAACAGAGGTATACACATACACACACACATACACAGGACCTACAACATGGACATAGGTATGCACACACACACACATACACACACACCCAGCATTTATAACATTCATGGACACAGGAATGCATATATACACACACAAACAGGACCTACAACATGGACACAGCATGCAAACACACACATGTACCTAGGACCCGCAACGCAGACACAGGTATGCATATACACACACACACACACACACACACACACAGGACCTACAATGCAGACACAGGTACGTGCACACACATGCACACATACACATACACCCAGGACCTATGGCATGCATTGACATAGGTATTCATACACATTCACGCAGGACCTATGACATGCATAGACAAAGGGATATATACACACAGGTATAAGCACAGTATACAAACTCACACCCAGGACCTAAGACATGCATGAACACAGATATGCGCGCGCGCGCGCACACACACACACACACACACACACACACACACACACACACACAAAACCTACGACATGAATCAACACAGGTATACATACACACATACCGGTGATGTATGCGATGCACACACACGCAACCAGGACATACGACATGCATAGTCAAAGGCATGCAAACACACACAATTTGAACCTACGACATGCGTGGACACAGGTATGCATACACACAAGCACACCCAGGACCTATGGCATGTATGGACACAGGGAAGCCTACAGTGACCCCCTGATGCTCGCTAGGCTTCCGTTCCCGAGGTGAAGTCGGCGTCCCCAGCCTCGCGCGCTCCGCAGTAGCAACCCCCGCAGACCCCGCGCCTCTAGGCCCGCGAGCCCGATGCGCGCGGCGCAGGGCGCGAAGGGGCAGGGGCTGGGGCACCTGTTCCGCCAGAGCGCGAGGGACCGGCTGGGCTCGCGGGCTTCGGCCGCCTGTGGGATGCGGGTTGGGTCGGTCAGAAGAGCCGGGGGCTCAGGAAGAGGGCTTGGGGCGGCGGCGGGGGCGGGACCACAGGCAGCGGGATGCCGGGGAGTAGCCTCAGTTCCCAGAGGCGTCCCGGGAGGCGCGGCGCGGAGAGGGGGCGGCCTCACCTGGTACTCCGGGTACTCGAACATGTAGCTCATGCTGCACTTGTTCTCCTCGAAGCCGAAGAAGACGTCCCAGAGCCCCAGGGTGGCCAGGAGCACCATGAAGACGTAGAACGCCAGGTTCCAGAGGTTCACGGGCGGGAGGAACATGGTGCCGCCGCCGTCACCGCGGCCGTCAGCCCACCGCAGACCCCGCGACCGGAGCCCCAGCACCCGCCCGCGGCCGCACGCGCCGCGCCTGCGCGGACGCCCCGCTCGCCCTCGCCCGCCCCCGCCCGCCCCGCACCGCGCATGCGCAGAGCCCTCCCTCAGCTCCCTCCCCGGGCTCAGGGAGGAGGCGGCCGGAGCGAGTCTGAGGCGGGAGCGGGGCGAGCGCGGGCCGGGCTGTCTGCAGCGAGAGGAGGAGGGAGACCGCGAGGGGAGGGAAGGGGGCGTGCTAGGGAGTGGCCGGCCCGCCCCCGCGGTCGTCCGCCGTCCCCGCGCTACGCTCCCCCCTGCGGCGGCGAAGATCCTACCGTTCGGGGTCTTCGCGGGTCACACCGCCCAGTCACCGCTCGGCTTCAGGGGACGGGGGGTGGGGGGCCCCCCG